GGCATATAAGTCTGTCATCAATCTCATAATCAGGGGAGGGCATTTGAGGTAGCCTCTCCTCCATTGCTAAGATGGTTAGCTGGTGTCATCTTTGTAGATCTCCAGACATTTCCCTAATGCCTGATTTCTCTGTAAACCAAAAGTGTCTCCCTCTATTATATCTCCATTCTTGTTATCATGTATTCTTCCCCTGACTCATATTTTCTGCTCCCTCATGTCCTCGGCATCCCTCTTTCTCTCTCCTCATTCTCCTAGCTCCTTCCTGCCTCTTCCCGTGCTCCCAATTTGCTCAGCAGATCTTGAGCCTCTCCCCTTCTCCAGGGGACCATGTATGTCTCTCTTAGGGACCTCCATGTTTATTAGCTTCATTGGCAGTGTGGATTATAGGCTGATAATCCTTACTCTGTGTCTAAAATCCGCATATGAGTGAGTACATACTATATTTGTCTTTTTGCGATTGGGTTACTGGAGTCATGTTTTATTCCATGGAGTAAGTCCCTATAGAGCAGTTGTTCTCAATGTTGTGGTGACCTCTGACCATAAAGTTATTTCCACTGCTACTTCACAATTGTAACTTTGCCACTGTTATGAATCATAATACAAATATCTGTGTTTTCTGATGGTCTTAGGTAACACCAGTGAAAGGAATGTTCATATCCAGGGGTCAAGACCCACAGGTTGAGAACCATTGCTATTGAGTAAAGGATCTTGGGATATGAAACTTTTTTAAGAACTGTTCTCTACAAATATTAAAAGAATCCATTTCTCCAGTATTCTTCCCTATGTGTGTACATATACACAGATATTCAAGCTATGTTTATAGACATATACATACATGTATGCCCCTATATACACATATGCATACACTGAGATATGGACATTTTCTTGCTTCAGTATTACATTTTTCCAAAATTATATTCCAGATAAGATATCTCATTACTACTAGTCATGAGATTTTTTTTTCTTTTCTCAGTGAAGCATAGAGATTTGAAAAGGGCTTATAACTGCCAACAAGTGTCAAAATACTTCATGACATTTAGCTTCTTAAATACTACGGAATTATCTTAATACAGCTGAGAAGCTACATTTTATTTAAAACAGATGATCAGGATTCCAAGCAGTGCCATGCACTATCTCTACTGATAACAAGTTCACAAACACACACACACACACACACACACAGAGAGAGAGAGAGAGAGAGAGAGACAGAGACAGAGAGACAGAGACACACACAGAGAGACAGATACACAGAGAGAGAGAGACAGAGACAGAGACAGAGACAGACAGACACACACACACAGACAGACAGACAGACAGACAGACAGACACACACACACACACACACACACACACACACACACTGACCACTCCATTTTTAGAGTGATTATATGCTGGCTAGTTTTATGTCAACATGACACAGATGAAGTCATCTGAAAGGAGGGAACCTCAACTGAGAAATTGCCTCCATAAGATCTTGTTGTGGGGCATTTTCTTAATTAGTGATTGATGGATGGCCCAGCCCATTGTGGGTGTTGCCATCTCTGGACAGGCAGTCCTATAAGAAAGCAGGCTGAGCAAGCCATGATGAGCAATCCAGTGAGCAGCACCCCTCCATAGCCTCTGCTTCAACTCTTGCCTCCAGGATCCTGCCCTGTCTTGAGTTCCTGTCCTGGCTTCCTTCACTGATGGACTGCAATGTGAAAGTATAAGCCAAATACACTCTTCCCTCCCCAACTTGTTTTTGATTATGGTGTTTCATCACAGCAATAGAAACACTTATTGAGGACAGGTTATTAATTTTCTGCATCTCATCCACCTTCCCAGTGTTCACTCATGTAACAATATTAAATGGGAAACAATACATTGATGTTAGTTAACACAGGATGTTCAGTGTGTGTAAAACTGGAAGCAGACTGAATATCCACCCCTCTGCCCAGAAGTTCCAATCCAAACTGTGTATGCCTGTCTCCTGAGCCAGTGAGGGGCTTATAGAAGTTCACCTTGTATCATTGTTGGAGAAGGGTATTGATCTTAAAACAAAGGTATGTCATTTCACTAAAACACGATTCTCTCCACTTCCACACATATCAGCAAAGCCGACAGACAGTTCCACGTCTGATTGAGAATATCCAAGATATAAACATTAGAACAAATAGTGGTAAACTCTGACAGTAAGACTTTAGCATCCTTCTGGCCTTGACTGTTACTTGACACCAGATCTGTAGGGAAGGTCAGATGATGTGGGATGAACAGACCACACACATCTCTTATTCAAAACAATTTCATTGCTGATTTCCTCTCCTCCCAATCCCAGAAATCTAGGCATTTGGACCAAATAAAAATAATTAATAAAAATCAGGGCTAGTGACATGGCTTGGCATGAAATGACACTTGCTGCCAAGCCTAAAGATTAGAGTTCAATCCCCAGGACCCTCTTGGTGGAAACTCATTCAAGCTGGCCTTTGACTTGCACACAAAAATGCATAGCATGCACAAAATCAATCAACCAACCAAATAAACAAAATAAACACTTTAAAATGAGTCAATGAGTTCAGGCAGATGAACAGATGTGTGGCTTAAGCCCTGCTTCTAAGTGCTGTGTGTGCACAAGGTCCCTTCCATTGCTCTGGATCTCTAATTCTGTATAGATTAAAAACAAAAGTAACAAAAACAGGCTGGGGGTATGGAAAAGAAAATGACTCTCTCTGAAACAGGTTAGGTGTTATACAACAAATCTCAACTGCCAAGGAAGCATGGAAAAGAAAGGACAATTGAGGCACAGGGCTGTCAGTGACAAGAAGCATGGGCACAGACCACGTACTTACCAATAATAACTGTGTTGTCGTCAGCAATTAGCAACTTGCTGTGGACGTAGATGAGCTCAGTGACTAGGTTTCCTTCAAGCTCTGCATGTGTTCTCAGACCACAAAAAGAGATGTAATTTATCCACTGATTACCAACTGTGGATCAGAAAGGAAATACATCAATTTTGTTTTCGGAGACAGACATCACTTACTCGGGGTTAGTTATAATTGCAAAATTTAACCAGGAATTTTTTCTGATAACGGTAATTTGCATTGATAGCTTGAATGAGCATCCTAGTTTCCTTCTGTTTCTGTGACAAAACTCTCTGACCAACAGCAGCTTGGGGAGGAGATGGTTTATCTGACATATCCTTCCAGGTCACCCTCCATCACTGAGGGAAGTCAGGGCAGCAGCTAAAGGTAAGAGCTTAAAGCAGAGACCAGAGGAAGCATTCACGCTAGCTCATTCTCTGTCTTTGTTTCCTGGCTCATGCTTAGTCATTTCTCATCTATTCCAAAACCAACGACCACAGTTGGTGCGGCCTACAGTGGACTGGGCTCTGGACGTCAGTTAACAGTAAAAGCATCCCTCATAGATATGTCCACAGACCAATATGAGGTAAGCAACTCCTTGATTGAGATTCCCTTCTTAGATGACTCTAGACTGTGTCGTCAAGGCTAACTAGGACAGTGACTACATTTTAAAAAACATCATATGGAAGTGTCTTCTGCCTTTGGCTGAGGCAATCTAGAAATGTACTCCAATCTGAACCATCTAATGATTTGGTGGGTTCACTACTGAGTAGTAGAGGCAGAAAGGACAACACAAGATTTCAGTATCTTCGCTGCTTCTACCTCAGTTGACACCTGTGGCAGGCAGTTTAAGCCAGAGGTCAAGTGCATGTCGAAACCATAAAACACATGCAGCACTGAGTGGCAGTTAAGTCTGCCGACTATATAGAAATGTTGCCAATTAAATAATCTGCCCCCAGGATGCAGAGAAGGGCTGTGAACAGCTGCCTTCATGGCATGGCCACTGTACTCAGGAACTCACAACGACTGTGGAAGGGGCCCCCTCCACATTCCATCCTAGGTCGGGGAGGGGCTTCTGAGAGGCTCCATCCTCCTTGAAGAGCTATTGGCACTTAATGGTTGCTGGGGAAAGAGGAGCCATTTTTTTTAGTGGTGTAGCCACTGCTAAGTTGTCTGTGCTCCTGCAAGCAATGCTAATTAATCTCAGTGAGTCATTGAAAAACAAAGAAACATGAAGGCAGGAATGGAGAGGTTAGGGAGGAGGAGGAGGACATGAGAGAGGGCAATGAGAGGTGAAAATGAAAATACATCATATACATGTATGCAATTGTCAAAGAATTTTTTAAAATTCTCCCTTCTAGATGGTTAATACTAAGAAAAGAAAATAAACTTTGATGTTCCATACTGGGTTTAGAGTGAACAGTACTAGGCTTGTACTGTAAATGGTTGCTTACTTATCTTACCACGAGACAAGACCTGCATTCCACACCTAACTATAATGACTACCATGGTCTGAGTGTTGATCACAAGGTTTTATGGTCCCTCTCCTTCACAGTTTTGTCCTGCATCTAAGTCTAAGACTCAGAACAAATGGAGGGGGGCCAAGCTGCTATGAATTCTAACAAAGAAAATTGAGACTTTCTTTAGGAGGTTATGAAACATAGTAACAGCCCCAGTGCTAATTTATGTTGCATTTGCTGAGCTTCCCATTTGTTACTTAGGGTTCCTATGCTCTATTAAGATCAGGTATCTTGGAAAGAAATTCATTCCTAGGTACACACAGGGAGTCCTTCCCTGACAGATCACCTTCTTGAATGCACAACAGGAATGATCTCAGAGCACTGACTGACAAAGAGCTGTGTCGGGGCACTGGTGCTTCACATGTAAAGGCCTTTCTTAGAGATCTACAGACATTAAATAGTCACAAAACCCCCACCCCATGTGTTAATGTTACATTAAAACAGCATTTAAGTTGCAAGTGTGTTTAACCTGCAGCCAACAGGTTACATGAGCCCTAGGACAGACACGAAGAAGGCCAGACACGAAAATCACAAACATATTTAAAACATTGAGGTTTACTGGTGGGGTATTTTTTTTGTAACTTAATTACATACTTCTCCGGCATGAATTTTGCAGATGACAATATCAAAGCCTGGACATGACCCAGACCATTACTTCCTTTAGAGAACCTCCTGTATGGCCAGACAGTGGTGGCACAGGCCCTTCATCACAGCATTTAGGAAGCAGCAGAAGAAGGATCTCTGAGTTTCAGAACAGCCAGGGCTACACAGAGAAACCCTGTCTGGAAAAAAAAATATCTCCTCTCATTATTAAAAAGAGAGGAGTGTGTCCTCTTTGAAGTCCTTTATGTCCATAAAATTCCCGGGAAATATTTTTAAATGCCTAATTTTTACAGATACTGTAGAATATATATTTCTGGCACTGGCACTGTGCCCCACCACTTGGCATGTTCATCGTTACTCAAGGCCACAGTGCCCGAGCTTTTGATTCCTGTCTATCATCTAGGGTGGCCTTATGATCCAGAGTATAGCATTTTAAGCTAAAAAGCAGTTACTCAATGGACTCAGGGAGAAAAGCCTTTGCCAAAGTAAATATTTTTAAACAGGGATTTGCCTATTGAAAGTTCCCAAACACATTAAACAGGAGTTCTCAATGTACGTAGGTCCACGCCCATCTCTAGGACTTGCTAAAGTTGGAACACAGAGCTGAATGTGTTGTCCCGTGGAGGATGCTTTGTGGAGGTTCTTAGGGACCTGGGAAGTAAAAGGGAGGACAGGAAGGGGAGAGAAGGAGAGGGCAGTGGAGGAGAACGAAGAGATGTGAAGAAGAGGAAAAGGTAAAATGTCAGTGTATGAAACACAGGATGAAAAGACAGATGGAGCCCCAGAAATTGTCCTAGAACACTGGATTTAGGGATCAGAGCTATGTCTCGGTGGGTAAAGGTTACTGCCTCACAAACCTGATTTTGATCCTTGGAACCCATGGAAAGGTAAAAGGAGAGAAGTGATTCCTGAAAGTTGTCCTCTGACCTCCACATGTGAGATGTGGCACATGTTTTCCACCCAGTAATAATAAAATGAATAAATTATATTAAGTACCTGAAAGTATTTAAAAATCGTTTTTCAAAGACTGGTTTTAAAAGACTAGTTTTAAAAGACTTATTAACTCATTGCCAGCCACTTGGATTTTAATATGTGCACTAGTGTATGGTATCTGAAGTTCAGGTTTTGCACTATTCTACAGCAGGCCTAGGGCCATCAGCCAAGCACATGCCAATCAGGGATGCCCAGACACAGTGCATAACACCTTCTACTCTGCCTCCCTCAAACAGTGGGGCTCAGAAAGTGAAAAGTGGCTGAGAAGAAAGCTTAAGGGTGTAGGGGGTGGGATGGAAGAAGAAGGAGGAAGGAAGGAAGGAAGGAAGGAAGGAAGGAAGGAAGGAAAGGGGGGAGGACAGAGAAAAGGAAAAAGTCCTTGCTGGAAGGGAGACACCATGGATAATCTTGGTGTGACTTATCAGATACAACTGCCATGCACCTATGAAGGTAATGAATCCTGCCTCCTGTAAGGGGCCGTGGGCCCTGAACTATGCGGTTTAAAGCCCACTTTTTGTAAGCTTTTTATGACCTTTAAAGTTTGCGGCTTGAAGCCCAACCCTGTGAGCCCCATGTGACCCATAATTAGATACGTTTGGCCAACCGGGACTACTAACAACTGCTGTTCCGAGAAAAGGCGTGGGGCTTTCTGCCTGCTGTTTCAAAGATACCGAAAGAATGTCCCAGCCCCAGCAAATACCAGACGCTCCTTCCTGCTATTCCCCCGCTTGCCTAATTTCCTTGTTGCAGGGCTCTATAAGCCCACTCTGAGCCCCAATAAATCGAGGCCCTGACAATTGCATAGATGGGCTCTGGTCCCCTCTTTTGCGCCACAGGGTCTCCTTCCTTTCTCTTGCCCATGACTCTTTCAGGCAGCCCCACCTTTGGAACCCTGAATGACTGGACTCTTGGACGGGTCAAGTGGCGCCGGAACAGGGGACCCGGAGTACGATTAAGCTGTCGGACGGCGGAAAGACAACCAGGGACAAGGAGGATCCTGCAGTTGGCTAGACTCGAGCCCTCTCCAGGTGGAGGTAAGGTACCAATCATTGCTGTCCCAATGCCATGGACCATGTTATGGGTAAAGAATTGAAATTCATAACAGAAGTTAAGGTAGCCCGCAGGGAGAAAGGAGTAAGAGTTAAAAAGAAAGATAAAAAGGAGTAAGAGTTAAAAAGGAGAAGATAAAAAGAAAAGTCAAAATGTTATTTGAGCAAATTTAAAATGTTATTCACCTAAGAATTATGTTTATGGGTCACAGAGGGAACCCACTAAATAGGTCTTTCCCTGATTACTGGCCAAATGGAATGAATTATCTGATTAACAAAATCAGTTGATTTGCCTCAAATAGACAAGGCTCGACAGGCTTGTAACTCTCTTCATAATAGCAAAAGTCTAAGTAAGAAATTTGGCTTAACCAGAGAGACTGCTGGTCAAATCATCAAACAATGTGGAATATGTCCACAATATGGCTATGGCTAATTTAAGGATGAATCCTCAAGGCCTGCTCCCCAACCATTTATGGCGAATGGATGTGACTCACATTGCAGAGTTTGGCAAGTTAAAAATGTGCCACTCCACAAACAGGAAAAGCCACCAGGCATGTTATAAGTCACTGTTTAAGATGTTTTGCTTACATGGGAATGCCAAAAGTTATAAAAACAGATAATGGGTCTGGATATACTAGCAAAGCTTTCCAACAATTTTGTGCTTAATTCCCAAGACCGGTGCTGCCAGAACAGCCCGTATGGCCTAATCCCACCCAGCGCGCGTGGACCTGCCTGCTGAACCCATAGCATCGGGCACGGCTGGGCCTTTGGGCCTTTGGGGATGCAGCATGCTGCTGACTTGGGGGAGTGAAAAGCCTGCCTCCAAGAGACATGAGGCAAGCCCGCAGCTCGGGCAGCGGCAGCTCCCAAGCAGGCTGGACACACAGGCCAGGCAGTGGTGGCGCATACCTTTAATCCCAGCACTCGGGAGGCTGAGACAGGAGATCACTTGAGTCCA